AGCATTAGCAGCATTAGCATCATTGGTAGCCTTAGCAGCATTAGCCACATTAGCAGCATTAGCGGTGTTAGCAGCATTAGCAGTGTTAGTGGTTTCTATTGTTTCAGGGTGATGTCTTAACAAGAGCCAAGCGCCAACCACAAAGGCTGCGTTCCATTCTGAAATATGTAAATTTCAACATTTAAGATTTAACATTTACATTTACACATTTAGATTTAGGATTTAATATTTACAAATATTATTTAACATTTAAATTTAACATTTGAAAAATGTAAGAACAGTGAGCTGAATAACAATATCTTTAGAAGTGCACCACCCTGCCTGCCCTTACGAATCAGCCATCTCTGTTTATTTGACACACAAAGATTAAATTCAGATAAATACTAAACTATTCAACCCTTGTATTCCACTCTAACTCTAGCACAGTTTAGAAGGTGCCAGCAAAGATGAAATACTGAAATAATGTTGCCTCTGTTCAAACTGATAAAGATGTCATTACTTATTGCCTCCCTGCTCTGTGGTCTGAATTGTTTTTAGTAGCCTGGAGTTATGGACTTGTTATCGTTCATTGCAGACTACACAGCAGACCAATATAATTTGGCAGCGCGGCCCAGGAACAACCTCACACAGAGGATGTGAGTGGGTGGTTAGCTCCGTGCGCCATTGCTAAAAGATCCTAGGCTGCACAGGAAGATAAAGCAGATTCTCTTTGTGCGTTAGAAACAGCTGAGCCGTCCACAGGGAATGGCTGGTTTGACCTTGCTGTGTTTGGATCCTCTTTCTGTTTTCACTCTTGTCTGAAAATCTCTGATGCTCATCAGGAATTGAGGTTGTTTTTTTTTTTCCATCACGTCTCACTCTTTGTTTTTATTTTATTCAACCTCTCTGAATTTAATACATCGCACATTCTTTTCTTTTACTGTCACCAGCTCGGCGAGCCCATCGCTACCGGCGCCACCACCACAAGGGGAGGAAGGAGCGCCGGAAGCACAAGAGRCACGGGCACCGAGAGGGCGGCCACCACGGAGGGGAGCTCAGCCAGGGTTACAACCACGCCCACTTCTGAACCAAATAAAAAAGGACATCCAGTTTTGTTTYCTTCTGTACTGCAAGCTGCAGTTTGCCTGTCTCCTCATCTCTTCAACTCTCACAACTCTCCGTCCAGACCTAGCCTCACTCCACTCCCTTTAGCCCCGCCCCCGGCTCTCAGAGGCAACATTAGTCCACTCTGAGGCTTGGCGATTTGCTGCCACGTGTTGCCAGACTATAACAAACCCTTTGAGTTGTTTTTGTTTTTGTTTTGTTTTTTSTTTTTTTGGTCCTAATTATGCTGTCTTACACGTACTCTTTTACTTGATCACCCTTCCTTCTTTGAGTACTAGCCTTTATGTTGACCTGTTTCTGAAAAAGAAAATACGGTTTAAACTTTGAGTTTAAACCTGAGCATACTTTTGTAAGAAGTGGTTCACACGAACTGTAAATAAGGATGACATCATTGAAAATGCCATATCAAAGTCAGACGAGTCAACGATGACGAGTTGTGGTTTTGACTTGAGCCTTTTGTCTATTGAACAGTTATTTTTTACAAATACTTTGTGTTTATTTGCTAACTTTACTGCGTTTGGTTTGCTCTTTTGTATGACATTGTACAAGACTTGTTATTCTTGGTTAATTGAGTTTTCCTTTTTTTTTTTGACCAGAGGCAGATGTAATTGAATTATTTGATTGCTAGCGTTGTATTTTTCCTCGTCAGTGTGAGTTAGTTACTTTAGATGAGATGATGAAACCCCAGATGAAAATGGAACGTGCCTCCCATCCTTACCCGGTTTGATCACACCCCACATCAAGCGTTGAACCACCTCAGACAGTTCMTGCCGTGTCAAACATCCACACCTATCGCTGCCAAGGGTTTAATCTGCACATTTGATGTCAGCTTGTCTCAGCTCAGATCAGCAGTCACACATCAGTTGTCTTTTTTATCATTTGTTGTTGAATGAATGTGTGCCGGGAGTTATTTAAGGTCGTGGAAGGGTTACGTGAGGTTCTCCTATATTTTTTAGTTGACCAACTTTTTAGCAAGTGATTTCTGACATTAGAAGACATTTTTTAAAAGTACTTTGATGCACAAAAATATATAAACACAAAGGTTTTCTTGCATGATGTGAATGGTGCAAACTGAACCATGGTAACATGTTGTGGTTTTAGAAAGTGGTTTATCAAGAGCACCAGATGCTGTTTTATCAACTTGATATACCATGATTTTTTAAACAAATCACTACCAAGATGTTTAGGCATGGAAAAAATTAAAGCCCAACATTGTTTCATTTCAAATACTTGAAGACAAGTGTATAAAAACACAACAGTACACATCTAAACAGGTAATGTTTATTTAGTACAGAAGGTTAATGCAGATTTTTTTATCAGAATAAATTAGAAGACATTTGAAACAATATAAATAAGACAGATGAAATTATGATGGTTCAGTCAAAGTCCAGACCTCACTTTAATTGAAATTCTGTGGGGTGTAGGTTTATCAGCATTGGTCTTTTTCATCAGTGGACGGCCTCAAGAAACAGCTGGCACCGTGYCGACCTCTGGGTTCTGAGATTTAAAAGACATTTCTCTGAATGAGATACAGCTTTCCTTCTCAAAACATACTGGAAAGCAAAGACATTATTTACATAGACATCTCATCTATGTCATGGCTGAAGCCCTATAAGTCACTGGCTGTGTCCAAATTCAGAGACCGGGTCCTCCGAAGGCCGAATTCATCGGCCGCTTATGTCACAGGCTGTCCAAAGACTCCTCCGATGCGGCCGACAAATGCGTCCTTCTTTTGCCCCRATTTGAAGGACTGGTCCAATGGCTCCTTCTCAGCCCACACTGTCCCATAATGCATTGCGGGCCGACCAGAGGTTTTATTCTGCTAGTGCTGTCGGACAAAGCGAGAGAAAGGAGTACAGTTTTTTTTCTTTTTTTGGTGGTATAAAAATGAAAATTTTTAAGCTGTTGTATTGTTAGTGCTTTTTAATTTGCATAGACGTGTTTTTAAATATTATTCTTGCCAGAAATAAAATGAGCTGGTTTAACAAAATAACCATGCACCTACGATGGGTAAATTTTTTTTTCAAATATTGCCTTTAAGCTAATTTTGTTGTTTTGTGATATTAATAACGCTAATATATGGATATTTTTCTCATTTCAATCTAATTTTGCTTCTGTTTATTGCCATCATGCTAGACAGTCCAAATTCGCAGCCACTTTTTTCTGATTTTCACGGYCTACCAAGGACCCGGCCTACCGGTCTTGGTGGGCGGACCCAGCCTCTGAATTTGGACACAGCCATTGGCTAGAGTGCATCCAACAAGCAATGTGGCGTCTATGTAGATAATGTGTGTGTTATGGTCTTAGTAAAACTTTGATCCAGCAACAACGATTGCACTGAGCATGGACCGCAATTTGTTGAAGCCAGAGGAAGACAAAAAGGAGAAAAAATAATTATCGGTTTGGATAAGGGAGGTGGTGTTGTTGCTGTTGTCACAATTTCCTCCCGGTCCGTTCGTAACTTTTAATTTCCTTACTTAAATTTCGGAAAATTCTGGACATTTGGCGCATTGCTTCACAMGACACCGTCACCGTTTTTCAATACCAAGGTATACCACAGTGCCGTCAGGCCGCCCAAGCATGGTGATGCGGGAGATTAAGAGCTGTGCAAAAACAAAAGCTTACAAACCTCAATGAACAAATGAAGTGATGTAAAAAAAGAAGAGTGGGTCAGAATCCTTTCACAGCCTTTTAACACATMGATAGAGTCACACAGAAAATACTTTAAAAAGATGTTCTACAAGCTTTTGGGTGATAGGGTGGACTTTCAAACAGTTTTTTTTTTTGGCTAATTTATTTATGAGTTACACAACATTTGAATCATTTTTAAACCTTGTAAAGATCACATCATATTTATAAGTCCTGATATGTAAAATCCTAAAATGAAAAGATAGTGGACTTTTTTTCCCAGTGACCATAGATGCATCCTAACCTTATTCTCTTTTGTTAAGCTTTAGATTGGTCATAAATAAAGCTACCTTAATGTTTGTATTTATTTATGAACAAAGACAAAAACAGACATTTCATCTAATTGTCTACAATAGAAGGTATCGTTAAAAAAAACACTCAACACAACAGATTAGGTGTTCCTTCTTAAATCTTGAGGCATTTTTTTAGACTCCAACCTTATCGTTCATATTTTAGAAAGAGCAGCTGACAGGCTGTGATGACAACACTGACATAAACTTTGGATTTGACAGCTTACGGGCATGAAAAGACAGATTCGGAGCAATATAAGTGTTTGCTGAAGTTTTAGTTCTTGTTTTAGCAGACACAAACCGTCACACCTTAGATAAGTTTAACTCATCCCTTACTGCAGAAAAACTGCACAGATTCTCAGTATCGGATTTTAAAAAAGAAGTCTATCCTGTGCACATTAATTATTTGCCTTTGTTGATCTCATCTCACCTTGGCAGTGACAACACTGGTAAATCCACAGCTTTGTATCAGTTTAATTAATCTGCTGCATGCTTAATTAACAGGTTGCATTATCTGGCCAACCACAGGGCTGTGTTGACAGGAGAAGGGTAATGCTGATGGACAGCCGGAAGGGTGTTTGGACTGACTGTCACAGCTGTCAAAACCTTGTAGCTCTGCACAGAGGACTGACATGGGCCACGTTTTTTTTTTCTTCTGTCCTTTCTGTAAAATGGATTGACCATGAGTGGATGAATAAAAGGGCATCACAAAGCCCCTCTTACAGCAAAAATATTGCCCTGAAACAGGGTAATTATGGCAATTTGACAGGGTAAGGAACAACAAGGAACTGAACTGAGATAAATATTAATTTAAATTATATTCAAGGAAGCAAAAGAAAGAAGAAAGAAAGCTAAGCTATGCTAACATTCACTGAAAGTAATGCATATCACTGCTGAAGCCAGAGATGTAAGCTAAAATCCTTTTATTTTGAACCGTTTTGGGCAAATTTTAAGAATAACATTATAAACAGGCACACACCTTATTGCGAGATATGCAATCTGCTAGCCCTCAATGTTTGTGTTGGTAATGACTCTCAGCTACAAATAAAAATTTAGTTTGGTATCTGTAAAACGGACTGTGTTTTGGCCATTTTTGTGTTTGACAAGGCTGATAATTTGTGTCAGCCATCTTCAATTTGGTTGACTCAAAACTATAGAGATGCACCTGCGCCGCCCTGCGGATGCAATGTAAATGCTCTCATTGATTATAATGGATTCATTTTTATTAAGGAGCAGGCACAGTGTAAATAAGGGGTTACAATCGCACAASACTTTTTGCCCACTTGTCACCATTTGGTGGTATGCAACAAGAATGTTAYTGGGCTGAATCTGGTCCACAAATTCATCTTTTTCTCATTCATAATAAAGTGGTATGAGAGGACTTTCCACTGACAGCATTTAGCCTTTTAATAAAGGTTTAAGGCAAAAGTAAAATAGGTGCCACATTAAAGATCTGTGTGGAAATAGTTACTTTTAAGCACATCCTCTCAGAGCAGACAGGACTTTTAAAGACATCAACCTTTCTCACATAGCAGACAAGAGCAAAAAAAATCACGTCACAATTTTCAAATAATTCAAACACTCACATTCTTCCTAGTTTTGCTTTTGAAGCCTCAAACAGTTTTTCAGTTTGATCTTCTCCACTCCTGCTCCTCAAGTCTTCCCTCTCTGGGCACTCGAGCCCTGAGGGCAGGCGAACAGACAGCCACAAAGGCCTCGTTATTGTGATTCTTAATTACGGAGAAGAACGAGTTAACAAAGGTTTCTGCCAGCTGTCTTGTGGGTTTGCAATGAGCCTGAGGGCAGAGCGCAGAATAATCCCAGTCAGAGAGCTTTTTGCTGTTTGGTATAATGGTCATTATTTGCTCTCAGAACTACTGCTGCTAAAGATCTAGAAGTTTACCAGAAATGAGAAAAAGATAGAGTTTCAATTCAGAAAGGTGATTTAATTCAGTTTATTGTGTGAATGTTTATCAAGCAGCTGAAAGAAGCACAAAAAGCCGTGAATGTTTATCGATCAAATAATGTGAACGCTTCTTAAGTATTTACACTTTTAAGATGATCCATTTTTCTTAAGTGTCTTATTCGGAACATAACTCGCATCACAATTTTTGTGCTATTTCATCAGTTTATATATATTAAAAGTTCAGCTCCTTCTGGATATTCTGGCYATGATTTTTAGTAATTCAGCAATTTACACTTTTTTAAATATTTAGCTTTTTCTGACATTTAATTCCTTATTACATATGAATGGAGCTTATGAAGGGAGTTTATATTTATTATATATTATATTACAATTTTTACCTTTTATTCTGGTTATGCTTTTGTTACATTCTTTGTGCTGATATCAGCCTCCTTTAGCTTCATTTTTTGCTAATTTTAACAAATGTAGCAATTTTAACTTTTTCTGCTTTTTCAGCTATCATTCTGCTCCTTTTAGCTGTTCTGCTAATTTCAACAGTTTATGCATCTAATTGCATCTTTCAGAAAAGTTATTCTCTTTTGTGATTCTTTGAGCTACTTTCTGGAAATGTCAGCAATCCTTTGCCTTTTTAGCAAAGCTATTCTCAGCTAATTTGAACTTTTTTTC